CCAGCAGGGTGCAGTTTTTGGTCATGCCCAGGACCTGGAGCCTCCTCCTTCCCCATAGCTCCTGCCCATATACCTTCAAGCATGTTCTATGATGTTGTGAGCAGCAGCTCCAGCTGGGACATGTTCTTTCCATGGCTGCAGCAGGAAACTGCTGCCTCAGCCCTAGGATCTAAAATGGAGGCTGCTCAGCCCCCTCCTTCAATCACAGGGCCCTCCTGAGGTCATGTGACCACCTCATCAGGGCTGGCCCACACTTTCTGGCTGCTCTGCTGCCCTTAAAGTGGTGGGTACCAAAGGCGCTGTGCCACAGGAGGGATGTGTGTGAGGGGGAGGAAGGGGAGGTGCATGTGCAGTAGGTGGAGGGGGGGACTATCTGGGTGCTAGGTCCTGGGAGCCTGCCATGGATGAGGGGAGGAAAGGGGGTTGGGGGATACATGCAGCAGAGCTCACCCAGGCAGCGCAGTCTGTGCTGCACCTGAGGTGCTCCACATGGGGTTGAGCCCCACCTGCTTGTGCTGGCTCAGCCTGCTCCACACCTTCGCTGGTGCCTGTGGCCTGGCTTAGCCAGCTATTGTTCTTCCCTCTCTGCTGCCAGCAGTGGCTCCTGCCTACACTTGCCACATTGTGCCATGCCAAGCAGCTTCCAGCAGGGCTGTTCCAGGTGGATCCCAGGAAGGCAGCCAGGAGCTGGACCTGCACGTACTGGGGCAGGAGCCACCTGGCTGAAGATGTCTGCCCATCTTCCCAGAGTGGCATGGTGCAGTGCAGCATGGCAGGAGCAGGAGCAGTTTTTGTCAAGGTGCTGCCCTGCACCTTCTACTTCCAGTGATAGCTCCTGCACCTGCTGTGCCACACCACACCACACCACACCACACCACTCTGGGCAGACTGGCAGGCAGCTTGAGCTGGGTGGTTCCTGCCCCAGCAAGTGGGACTCCACTGGAAGGTTCACTGGAAGGCAGCCAGGAGCTGGAGCCAGAACCCTGCACACTGGGGCAGGAGCCCAACTGAAGCTGCCCGCCCACTCATCTGAAGTGGCATGGTGCAGTGTGGCACAGGACAGCAGAGGCAAGACCAGAAGCAGGAGCCGCTGCTGGAGGTGAAGGGAGCAAAACAGCACCTGGCTGGCTGCAGCTGCACCAGGAAAACCCCTGCTGAAAGCTGTACACGCTGGCCAAGGCTGGCCTGTGGGCACTAATGGGAGCCTGGTGTGTGCTGCGTTGGTGCAAGTGGGTGGGACTTGACCCCATGCAGAACGCCAGAGGGGCAGCCATGGGCCACATCTAGTCACCTGGCAGGCCATATCTGGCCCGTGGGCCATATTTTGCCCACCCCTGGCTTATCTTCTGGCTGGTTATCTCCTAAACTTGGTCTCTCAGAAAGTAATACTAGTTAAGGTGCTAGCAAAGAATAAGAAAAACTATGCCTAAATTCAGGAAGTTTTGCACTGTCTTCCTAAATTCAGGAAGTTTTGCACTGGTGGGCCTCAGTGCTGACACTGCCAGTGTCAGCAATGTCATAGCATAGAAACATATTCCTTGTCTTTGTGATAAGGTATTTAGCAAAATTTGCAGATTTTGTTGGAATCTGACAGGCTAGTCTATGAGTGCTTCTGCAAAGGCCTTGAGCTTCCACCCCCTTGGGCTGTCAACCCTGTGCCTTAGCACCCACACCACTCCAGCCCCTACATAGAATATATGCAATTAATATAGCAAAGAATAGTTATAAAGTGTCCAAACAAAAGCAAAATTCATTTGAGTTCAATTTCTCTTCAGCATCTCTCCTATTCCTCACAACCCTTCTGAATCCTTCCCTAGTAGAAGATCAAGGATGAAGATTGAAATTTTTCTTCCCTCCATTAGAAACCCTGGTAGCTGTTTGCCTGCTGAGATTTCATTCCATTCATAGATGTAATGCTTCTGGAAATTTGAGTGGTTGAGTTAACACACTCACTTAACTACTGCTGTCATGCCACTTCTGGAAGGAAGGAATTCTGGAAAAATGTCTCATTCTCCCAGGAAAATGTTATTTCATTATCAATCATTTCAGAAAGGACCTGAATTTCCAATATGCATTTGCAGCTTCTGAGTACAGAGCAACTCTTCTGCTTGCATTTATTAGCATTGCATTCAGTGACACTAAGGCATCAGCTAACGTTTCTTTCAGAGATCATGTTATTTACACCTCCACAAGCAGGAACAGGTTTCCTGAGTAACAGCCTCCATTAGGCTGACATTTTAAAGGGTTTTGAGTATTATACTTCTGAGAAACGTTTAAATTTAGTAATTACCTGATTAAATTATGCCAAGAGAATTATTCAAAGTTCTGGTATCTACAGGTAAAAGTTTTGATAGAATGGGCTAGGATGTTTCAGAATTGTTTTTCAAAGTAGGATTTCTGTCGGCAGATGAATAGGCCCTCCCCTGAAACACTGCCTCCCCCTTCCTCTTTTAAATTATTTTTATAATACAGTATTTACATCGTTTATAAAGATTATAGTCAGTCAAGCCCAGATACTGAGAACCTATTTTCCAATATTCAAATATCTCTAGTGGAACTGAAGATAAAATCCGCTCCTCAAAGTCAAGTACAGTAGTAGAATATGGTATTAAAACCTTCAATCCACATTATGTTTGCTTTTACTAAAGAAAAGGCAGCACCATACACATTGTGATGGTTAGTGTGCATGTATTTTACTCTCCAAAAATGTGCCCCCGCTTCCCTAAGTAGGTGCATATATATGCACATTTATGTGTATGGACATGTATAATGGAATAAATCACCGCCTGCTTATACAAAATAGACATCACAATTAGCAGGAAAATAGGAGTCAGGATCTTCTGGATGAAAAGCAAAAGATAGGACTTTGCTACTAGATGTTATTTTAGCTACAGAAGTGTTTGTGTTTATACTTTCACTGAGCTTTAGCCAGTGGAGAACATGATCCCTCATGTGCCCTCACTTCAGTCTGTCATTCTGTGCAGCAGGAGGCAGCAGTACACATACACAACAATCAGTATGTCACAGTCGGCATGCATTCTTACAAACACAATTCTCATTTTTCACCTCCTGCTTACATTTTCATTTCAAATCATTGCCTTTGCTGACCTACTCATCTCAGCCTGAAAAGCTATGACTAAAGCCCAAGTGGATACATTTGCTCCTGATCCATCCTATTCCACTTCTCTCTTGGGTTCTGCAGGAACACCGTGCAGCTAGCTCCACCATTTCCATCATGAGTCCAACAAACTATTTTGGGCAGTTTCCTTAGCATGAGATGACTGAAATTATCTGGCAAAGCAGAAATAGCTTGGACACTTATAAAGCTGATAAACTGAAAATAAACAGAACTATGTAAAAAAATGTCCCTCACTTAAAGCGCTGTCAGTTAAGTAGATTTGTTTAGGTGGTCTTCCTTAAGAAGAGGCGTATTCAAGGCAGCAAGTACATTTTACCTGGCTTATATATCAATAAGCTTATATATTGGTTCCATGACCATTGCCTCAGAAAGATCCTTTGCATTAGATGGGAAGACCACTGAACCAATGCCAACACCCTCTCTGCAGCTAACATAGCCAGCATCGAGGCAAAGATCACGAAATATCAACTCTGCTGGGCTGGTCACTGTGTGTGGATATCTGACACTCATCTCCCATCTCCCAAGAGAGTCCTCTTCTCTCAATTTAGTCATAGTACAAGGATCCATGGAGGACAGAGGAAGCGCTACAAGAACACCCTGAAAGCACACTTTAAGAAGGGTGGCATCAATCCTACAAATTGGGAGAATTGCTGGCTGCTGCACCAGACATCAAGCTACAGCTCACTTTGAAGAGAACTGGCTTGCTCAGGACATGGAGAAACAGCAGAGAAGGAAGGAAAGTGCACAACATCCTGGCCAACAGCTGTCACCGCCCCAAGCCACCACTTGTCATGTCTGTGGAAAAACTTGCAGAGCACAAATTGGATTCCTCAGCCACCTTAAAACTCATTAGTAATCCCCCCACTGTCCCCGGCAGACATCATCCTCCTATTGAGGGATATCGGTAAAGACGTAATTTAAACCCATTCAAATCAATGAGAAGCCTCCCTTTGAGTTTAATCAGTGTGGGATCAGGTTCTAAGGCCCAACCTCATAATACAATGTGAGGCACATGGAAAGACGACAGTACCTGCCTTGAGTCCTGTTGACATCAATGGGCAACTAGAGGCTCCCTGAGCCTGTGACACTGAAGGGTCAGGTTGGAACCAACATGTGCAATTCCCATACTTGAGATCTATAATCTCTCTGTGCTTCTCTTTACCTACTGCTTATGAGCACTGATCATTTTAAAGCCTAAGAAGTGACGGTGTCAATTTGAAAATGACATTGGGCAAGATTCACAGAGAAACTTGGCTGCCTGCGTTTTACTGCAGTCCCATTTTAGGCATCTAAATCCAAGAGGGCAGTTTATAGATCTCCAGCTGACTCCCTTAGGTGTCCAAGACCCCCTAAAAGCCTACGTTTTCACTACAAACCTTCTTAGGTACCTAGAGTTCAGCTGCAGGATACATTTGTGTCTAAGAGGTGGGGTCGGGCTTTGAATCCCTATTTCACATAGGTCTCTAATGGCTGCCTTGATTCAGAATATAGGAAAAATTTCAAATACACCACTCACACCAGTATTTCCTATTGCCTGGTTAAGGTGTCTCCCTATTCAGCATACTGAGTCTTCTGAAGACAAGTCCTTGCACCTAATCTTTCTCACGTAAAGTAGAAGGAAGTTAGGCACCTAACCTGGGCTTTAAGAGAAGCCCAATTAAAGTTATTAGAGAGAACTGCATGTTCTCTCTGCGCATTTTTTTTTTGGGTGGGGAGGGAGCGGGGGGACGCACATTATTTGGCTTTTAACAGCACTTGGTTTGTTCCATTAATTCCAATAGTAGGTCACACTTTTCCCATTAGTTTCACCCTTTGTTGCTATCAAGCCCTCTTTCCCCAAGCTCCCCCACAGGGTACTTACCACCAGAAGTAGAGCTGACAATGAAACTGCTGTGCACCAAGCCAGAGTTTGGACCAGGAGAATGGGGCTGTGGAGCCCACCTAATCGATCATTGTAAGGGAGTAGAACACCCTTAAAAAAATTCAGGAGGTGCTGGTTAAACACCGCTCAGAAACTGGAATGAGATGAACCCGATACACTTCCAAAAATGAAAGTTGATGACGTCCCTGCCTCTTGATATGAAACCTTTATGCAGCTTCTCCTTTGAGAACGTATGTATCTCCCCCCACTGCCACTCCTAGGCACTGCGCTGTTTGCTGGACATGGGTGTCATTGTCACCCCACAGCAATTACAATTACACAGGGTGCCCCTTCACCACAGCTGCACCTCCACATGTGACCATGTAGGTAAATCATTCCATCACTTAACATGTAGGTTATCTGCACTGAACCACAGTGCACCATTTTATGGCCCCCATACCCTGCTCCAAGGCAAAAGAACCTGCTGCTATAGGGAATTTGGCAGTTTTTGCCAGGGTGAGTGGAAGGAGTCTGGGGTGATGGAGGGCACACTAGGGTATTGAGGGCAGCTGTGTAGGGACCCTGGAAGGTACCTGGCACCTGTGCTAGGGTGAAACTTGAAAGGGCATAGCTGGATGTAAGCACAGTGGGGAGCATGGTGCTGCTGAGGTAGCTACTGGGAGGTGATGCTGGTTGCTTGAGGTTGGAGGGATGTCCAGGCGGGTGGATCTGCTATAGTTAGCAAGACTTACACTGGTGGGGCTGCCGGTTCCTACTCCTCCAGGCTGTTTCTTCCAGCTAGGGGAGGGCAGAAGAGAGCAGGAGCTGAGCTCAGCAGCACTGCAGCAGGACCTTGTGGTAGAAGAGCGGCACTGCAGAGCAAATACTTACAGCCTTCACACGGGAAGAGATGGTGCACCAGGACCCCACTTAGCCCCATGAGGGCATGAGGGGTTGTTGGCTCATCCTGCCCATGCACACAGACCTTCTCCAGGCTGACTTCCTAGATTAACTTTAGGAGCCCCTTGATCGGAAAGCCTCACACACAAGAAGAGGAGGAACTAGGGAGGAGTAGAAGTAGCTTTCTCAGAGAAGCAGAAGCTGCTCCAGTTTCTCTGCTGCAGAAATGCCCTTCCTCACATGTTGTTCCCCTCAGCAGCTGACTGGTGAGAAGGAGGTAGAGGAAGGGGAAAGGCAGGAGGAACAGCTTGAATTAGCACATACTGCTGTACTTCCCCTTCTCCACTCTCATACGACCTTCCCTTTCTGCCTGACAAGAAAAATGTGCAAGAGAATGCAAATATTTTGCCAGAATTCATGCAAATTCTGCTGTGTCAGGGTGGAAAGGCCTGGCTTTGGTAGCTTTCCCATGTAACTCAGAGACCAAACTAGCTTTTTCCCCTGTCATGGCTGTCCAATCCCAAATCCCTAATTAATCTTATTGACTATAACAAGATGCATAGCTCAGGGGCTGGAGCCTGGCTGCAGGGGTTAGAGGAAGTGAGGTGAGGGCAAGGCAAGGCAAGGCAAGGTTGGTACGCTGGGGGAAAAGCACAGCCCCTTGATAACCTCTCTCTCTTTTTCTCAGTCTGAGGAAAGACCAGAGGTTTTACCTTTTTTTTGTTATTTGGATGTTTGCTTATGTTGTTGCATGCTCTGTTTGCTGTGGGAGAGAGCTTTCCACATGTAAAATGAATGGACTAGAAATTGAAACTATGGGGTGCAGACAGAATCATCAGTTTTCACCTAATCTGGCCACAGAAAGCAGCTTGTAGCTGTGACCAAACACAAATGCACACCTGCAGAAAGCTTCAAAAATGGCTGATTGAGTGAAATTATGACCCATCATTATATGAGGGATCAGATAAGCAGGTTTCAAACGTAACTTGTGTCTGCAGGGCTCCCAGCCTGTGGGTGTTTGCAGAATGGGAGGGGGAAAGAGAGTGGAGGGAGTTCAGTCTGGGGGGCTTTCAGCACCCTCTGAAGGGTGGTGTGGGGGTATTGGAGTCCCCCTGAGGTGGGGGGGGCTCCAATTCACCCACCCCACCCCCTAGCACTGTCTGGGGAGTCCCAAGAATGAGCTCCCTCCACTGCCTTTCCCCTTCCTACTCTGTAAACAGCGAGCATTGGCAGGGAGCAGTGGCCACTGCTATGAGAACCTGGCTGCAGGCTCCCAGCCCGGCTACATCCCCTCCCTCCTGGAACCAACAGTGAACGTCTGTTTGGTCTGAGGTAACGTTGCAATGCAGAACGCTTTGCAGAAATCATCCTGAGTTACAGCGGGGAGCTGCACCTCTGTCTGCACCCTAAGAGCTGACTGGCCTTTGTGAGGAAACTGGCTTTTGGGCCAGGATAGAGGAGGAATAACCCGCTACAGTGACTTTCTAACAAGGTGCCACACAACCCACCTGTGCTGCGGCTCATTCAAGGTGCCCCTCAGTTTGGTTACTTTCTCTTATGTCTTTGCACATTTCACCCACCTTTGGCCTGCATAGGTAAGATTTTGAAAGATGCACCTACAATGGGCTTCTACTGAAGGCAGGGTATCTTATCTTCCTTTTGTGCTCTGAGGTTAGTTAAGCACGGAGTAGTTTGCCAAAAGGGGCCGTGAAAGCCCCATTACTGGTCATTTCTATGTACAAGCCTGTAATGGAATAGATGATCCTGCCTTGCTTGAGAAGATGGGGTTGGACCAAGTGATCTCCTGGGCTGTGTCCGGACAAGTGCAGCTGTGTGGTATGTGGTGCTGAAAACACATCTGCAGTGTCACATACTGCACATTTAGATGTTCTCCACACTGCAAGGCTGTGCTGCCCATGTGTGCATTGCTCCACTTTCTTTTCTGCTTTTTTTTTTACCCCTGCAGTAGAGGAGTACAAACATGGGCAGCACACACCATTCAAAAGCGGAGCTGGGCCACCTGGAGCCATGCCCTGGCTGCCTGCCAGGCTCTCTGCAGTGGAATCACCACTGCTGTAGCCCAAGGAGCCCCCAGGACCCAAGGTAAGACTGCTGGGGCCAGTACTGGGCTGGCCCCAGCCTCCCCTACCCCAGTGGTTCCCAACCTTTTTCACAGCGCAGACCAGCAGGGAAGTGGCGG